AAATGTGCTAAAGTGAATTAATTGAAGGCTGCAGCAATAAAGACACCTGGGTCAAATCATCTGAGTTTCCAACTATGCAGCGCCAACACAAATAATAAACTAACTAAATGGATGTGTTTAACTTAACAATAAACTGATCAGTGACATATCGTGAATCAATCAACAAAAATTAGGTGTGGATCAGTGTACCCAGAATTGTTATAACAGATATACATTCGTATATAACATCAATAATTGTGACATGAATAAATAGAAATATAGACTGTGTTATGTGCTTTTTTTTTTTTCCTTATAAAACACAATTACCCTGGACATACAATCCCACAAGGTCCCTGGAGTAATTAGTGTTGGTGTAAAAAACACAGTGAATAGCAATAAAGAGTTCATGGTGCACAAAATTTGTGAGTTGATGTGAAAGTTCTGTGAAACTTGTTGGGGATGTGGGCAGGTGCTGTACGTATCCCCTCAGAGTGTGCACTCACTGTGATGTAGTGGCTGTGGTAAGCAGCCAGAAGCGCTTAAATGAAATCTCCCGGAGCCGCAGCGTCCTCACAGCATCTCTCAAAGATCAGTGACCAGCAAGCGGTGTGTCTCCACGGTCATATAAAGAAAGAGCCTTTCATTGTATAACCGTTTCCAAAGGGGATTTATTTGAATCGAATAAAAACAGAGTAACGAAAACCAAGATTTTCCGGCCGGCAAAGCAATGCAATAACGAAATCCTGTATTTGGTATGACGTGTAGTTAGGCCCGTCCAGTGGAAGAGACAATCGTGGGTCTTATACAAATGGTCCAGTGAAAGAGACATTCACTATAGTTTCTAATGACTGATCTGCTCTAAATGTAAGCTGTCAGCTTCTTAAAACTGAACTTTGGGCACAAAAAACTTTCACTTAAATATATTCATTAGTGGTCATAAAGGATATAAATCCACTTTGTGTGCACCAGATGCCTTTGCAGAGCTGGATATTACCTTGTAAATGTAGCAGTGATATCACCACCATACTGTACATAGCCTGTCCAGAGAGCAGTGCTGTGGGAGGGACCCAGCAGGCTCCAACCACTGCAGGTTGCCTGCATGTCAGTGAGATGAATGCCCCCCTTAAGTAGGTGGTCAGAGAGAAGAATTCCCTCGATATATAGGTGGTCAGTGAGAAGAATGCCCTCCTTACATAGGTGGTCAGTGGGAAGAATGCCCTGCTTACATAGGTGGTCAGTGGGAAGAATGCCCTCCTTACATAGGTGGTCAGTGAGAAGAATGCCCTCCTTACATAGGTGGTCAGTGAGAAGAATGCCCTCCTTACATAGGTGGTCAGTCAGAAGAATGCCCTCCTTAGGTAGGTGGTCAGTCAGAAGAATGCCCCTGCTTATGTAGGTGGTCAGTCAGAAGAAAGTGTCCCTTACCTGGGTGGTCAGTCAGAAGAAAGTGTCCCTTACCTGGGTGGTCAGTCAGAAGAAAGTGTCCCTTACCTGGGTGGTCAGTCAGAAGAAAGTGTCCCTTACCTGGGTGGTCAGTCAGAAGAAAGTGTCCCTTACCTGGGTGGTCAGTCAGAAGAAAGTGTCCCTTACCTGGGTGGTCAGTCAGAAGAATGTGCCCCTTACCTGGGTTGTCAGTTAGAGGAATGTGTCCCTTACATAGATGGCCATTTAGAAGAATGTGTCCCTTACATAGGTGGCCAATCATTGGTGTCATGCCGCTGGTGATGTAGGCCAAGTGATGTTAGCCCTTGAACGATGCTGGCACCATCAAATGGAAGATCAATCAACCAAAGCTAAAGATCTTGGGCTTCTCCCTGCACACACCTTTACTGTAGCAGACGGAGCATTAGTATGTTGCAGCCGACGTAGAATACAAGAAGGAACAAAAACATTACAACCGGTAATAAAAATTACATCCAGATATAAATCTGGGTACATTAAACAGGAAGATGACATCTCCTGTGATGTTGGTTCAGTGGAAGAGGCACTCGCGAGTCTTGCGTTGAAGCAACATAAAATGATTTATTGGTCAATAAATCTATTTATGTTGCTACAGTACAAGCTCTGTGATTGTCCCTATCACTAGACCATTTGTATAAGACCCGTGATTGTCCCTTCCACTGGACCATTTGTATAAGACTAGTGATTGTCCCTATCACTGGACCATTTGTATAAGACTCGTGATTGCCTCTTTCACTGGACCATTTGTATCTACTTGCCTTGAATGCACCCAGACAATTTTTGCTCTTATTCGTGTACACGCACACACACACCAGATATTTTATTTTTACCCAACTTGATCTCTTCGTTGTCCTCCCATAAAGGTGTTTTATTTATTTTTAAATCATGTTTTGCGTTTTTCTGCTGAGCGTGCCACTGAATTCTGAAACCTGTAGGCGTTAAACAAAGCCATTCTGTAAATAGCACCTGCATGTGGGGTGTCAGCTGTACTATTCATGATGTAATAAGGATAATAGGTGGGAGAATGAACACCTGGGTCTTCGTGTGCTGGCGATTTGTAGGACTGCAATATGCGCATCTTCTGCGAAAACCCTCCTGTGTGAAATCGCAAGACTGTACAGCCGCCTTGCTAATTATCTAATGATATTCTGCGTTCATTAAAGCTTTTTATGGCACATCAATAAACAAGCCTCAGTTAGAGTGTTTATCATGTCACAGAGCACTCAGCAAATTAACTAGATGGAGCCAGTGTGTCTTGGTTTAGTACATGTGCCCCTTAAGGCCAGGGTCTACTAAACTCTGCACTGGCAGAAGTGTGCCTGGTCCCTGCTGGCTGAAGGGGTATAATTAATGTTTTATACAGGTTTTCTGTAAAGAAGAAAAGATGAAGACAGAATGTTCGTATGAATGGTGATTTAGTAAATGCAATGCATCCTATTTGGATTTTGTTTTTGTTAAAGTATATACAGTTATGGCCAAAAATATTGGCACCCCTGCATTTGTCAGATAGTGCACCACTCCGCCCAGAAAAGTGTTGCAATTACAAATTTTTTCGGCATTCTCTTTTTTTGTCTTGGTACGACACAAAATTAATAGCTTTTTGAAGAAACAACATTACAGGGTTTTGGTGCAGCCCATAATTCTACTGCTTTCAGAAAAAGAAATTAGACCTTTAAGGAAAAAAATCCAGTCCCTACAGTCACACATGGTGGAGGTTCACTGATGTTTTGGGGTTTCTTTGCTGCTTCAGGCACTGGATGACTTGACTATGTGCATGGCATTATGAAATCTGAAGACCTACCAAAGAATTTGGGGTGCCAAGTAGGGCCCGGTGTCGGAAAGTTGGGTCTCCGTCAGAGGTCACGGGTCTTACAGCAGGACAATGACACAAAGCACACGTCAAACATGGTTTCAGACAACGCGCTGGAGAGTACTGGACTGGCCAGCAATGAGTCCAGATCCGAATCCCATAGAGCCCCTGTGGAGAGATCTCAGAACAGCACTTGGGAAAAGGAACCCTTCCAATCTGAGAGACCTGGAGAAGTCTGTGACAGAAGAGCGGTCCAAAATTCATGTAGAGAGGTGTAGGAAACCCATTGGTGGTTACAGGAAGCCATTGATTTCAGTTATTTTTTCCCAAGGGCTGTGCTACCAAATATTATTTGAGGGTGCCAATAATTATGTCCAGTCCATTTTTGGAATTTTGCGTGGAATGTGTCAGGTTTGGCTTTTTTTTTCCTCCACTTTTTTGTGTTGTACCAATATGTACAAAAGAAATAAACATGAGAATGCCGAAACATTTGTCATTGCAACAATGTTCTACGGGAAGAGGAGCATTATCTGACAGAGATGCAAGGGTGCCAATATTTTTGGCCATGACTGTATGTATTTACTACTCAAGACCCTGCAACTTGACGTGTGGATGTCTATGATACGTGATAGCAGCTGTGTATGGTGTGTGACCTGAAGAATGTAAGTGTTCACGGAGAATGATGGCAAAACAGACTCTGAAGTCTTTTAAACTGCACATTACAGTCCGTGGGAACTGAACACCTGACGTGTGTGTGTGTGTGTGTGTGTGTGTGTGCGTGTGTGCGTGCGCCAAATCCCTCATTATCGTCTTGTATTAGGAGATGCAGTTCAATCACGCTGCCCCATTCCCTACTACAGCTGGTATAGGGAGAAGTCTCACTCCCCCCACTGCATTCTGTCATGGAGCAGTTCTGGGTAGGACAAAAGCAATAACTTATAGCATTGTGGCTTATTATTAATCACTTCATAGCATATTTGTGTCCCTTCTATCACAACACAAACAAAATAAAACCAAAAGGTTATCCTTGTACACTGTGCGCCTCACATTACCAGAAGCCTAGGCATTTGGTCACATGATCTCTGCTGACTGGGAGCATTGGTCAATCTAACCACTTATGCAGCAGAGATCACATTGGCAAGGGCCTATGCTTTATCTCTAGCCTGAGGAGACCCTGAAAACGTATTTTTTTTTTTGGTCTTTATCCATCCAACCATGCTGGTTCGTGTAGGTGAATTTTAAAGTATTATCCCAACTTAAACATAACTTATTGCAGCTTACCCGTCTTTAGATGTGTCTTTCATTATTTCACCTGGTAATCCTGCCATTAATACACCATCTGTCCTAGGGTGACAACGCATGCACACAGTATCTATGCAATATGAGCGTTGTCACCCTAGGACAGGTTGCCTGACACTCTTGGGGTGGGTGTTCTGTAGTGCATGGAGAGAGCTGGGAACAATGCTAACTGATGACAGTCTGCACAGGAAGTAGCCTGGCAGGATCACTTCTCGGATAGATAGAACAAAATGCTTTCAATAGTATATTTAACAGATCAAAAGGGAGTAAATCTGAGCAGTTTACTGTAGGGGGGTTACACTTTAATGTTGGAGCTGAAGGTTGCTTTAAGAACTTGGATGGCTCCATGGCTTGTTTAATGTGAAAGCGTTAGAACATCCACAGAGTCCCCATCCCTCCTGGTGTGTACACTGATCCATGCTGATACTTCCATGTCTTGTGCTCTTTGCAGTTGGATTGTACAACTTCGACAAGACCAAACAATGTATCGGCACCTTGACCATCGAGATCGACTTCCTGCAGAAGAAGAGCGTGGACTCCAACCCTTACGACACAGACAGGATGGCCGGAGAGTACATCCAGCAGTTTAGTAATCAGGCTTTCTCCGTCGGGCAGCAGGTACAGACCTGGGAGGACTTCCATCAAACCCAGTGTTCATATGTGACCACCCCCCATGAGTGGTCATTACCCCTTACCATATCCAGGTTTCAGAAGTTCTAGTATTGTATAGACCAGGGGTAGCCAAACTCCGGCCCTCCAGCTGTGGTAGAACTACAAATCCCATGAGGCATTGCAAGATCCTCACAGCCACAGACATGACTCCTGGAGAGAGATGCATCATGGGATTTGTAGTTTCACCACAGCTGGAGGGCCGGAGTTTGGCTGCCCCTGGTATAGTGGTTGCAGCATCAGTGCAGACCAAACCTGCTGCCTGTAATCCATTGGAAAGGGAGAATCCTAGGGCTCTACTTTTTGGTGCTCATGTGTACAAACCCTTCCTCAAGACATTTTCTTGTTAAACCTTTGAAGAGAACCATGGGCATTTGTAAATCTTCCCTTTTGAGTTGTTATAATAGTGCAAGCTTACCTTTCAGGGAGAGCTGTATGTGCTGTTATTCACTTGTTTTCTATTCCTGTCACACTAGAAATGTCAGCTTAGTGTCAGACTGTAATGGTGGTCCGTTTGTCTTCTACCTGGAGTGCAGGGCTGATAACACTAACACACTCTAGCATACTGGAGGAAACTCTCAATTACTAAAGCCAGCCTTTAGTTTTAATTAAAGGAGAACTATGAGATGAGTGATTTCCACTCATCCTCATAGTTAGAGCCGACCTGTGACAATGAAACTGTCACACGTTGGTTCTATAGATCGGAAACTGAGCGGACACATACCGTCGCTCGCTCACGTTCCGATCATCTCCCCGCAGAGAGCGGTGACTATCCGCAGGGATTCCAGCGCTCAGTGGAGGAATGGACGAGGGAGGGGGGCGGGCACAGCTGACTCTGCCTCTAGATAGGGAGAGCCTGCTGTCAATCAGCCAGCTGGGTGGATCTTGACCGTATTGTTGGGATCTGTCCTGGCTGCGGCGCTCGCAGTATATAGCAGGCAATAGCTTGCGATATACTGAGCTTTGGGTCACGGGAGGAGCTTAGTATATGTCCTCCTGTGACCCTAAAGAGAACTATGAGATAAAAAGGTTCCCCCATAGTTCTCTTTTAATGTAATCATAACATTGACTTTGTTATAAGACATTTTTATAAGTGTCTGTTATGAAGAGATGGGATAGCCTGTAAGCCTGACTCTCAGTCTGACGTTTCTGCTCTGCCAGGGAGTAAATACAAGTAAATGATTACAGAAAATGCCTGAGAGGTAATGCTGTACTATTATATAGGTTTGAGTGGAGAGTTCTATTATTCTAGATTGTTTCTTGACTCTTGGAATCAGTTTGGTGCCCAGTTTCCAATCTTCTGTTGATGTGTTCCCTAGGCTGCTGCACTTTTCCTCCTCGGTAACTGTTGCTTTTTCACATACTGTATATCCCAGTTTTCCCTGCTGAGAGGAGTTCTTCCATGATCAAACATCTGCTTTGCTTTGTCTCTTGTCTGCAGCTGGTGTTCAGTTTCAATGATAAACTTTTTGGGCTGGTTGTGAAGGACATTGAAGCAATGGATCCGAGCATCCTGAAGGGGGAGCAGACCTCAACCAAGAAACAGAAGGTGAGGGCATAATGATATTATTCACATTTTAAAATGAGGAATTCACCGATACCGTTTCTTTCGGTATCTATATAAATATTTGGTACTCGCCAATACCGAATACTGGAAGTCACATTAAGGAAGCTGAGCGGCGTAATGACTCACCACCTGGCTTCCCGGTCAGCCGGGACGCTGTCTCCATGCTCCCTCGTCACCAGGTGACGAGGGAGCATGGAGCTGGCTTTCTGGCCAATCAGGTAGCCGGGAGGAGGGTAAGGGCGTGCCAACAGGCTTCATGATTGGTCGGGAAGCTGGCCAATCGGGAAACCAGGCGGCGAGTCATTACCCGTTCCCCGGCTTCCTGATTGGCCGGAAGCCAGCTCCATGCTACCCGGTGACAAGGGAGCATGGAGCCAGCTTCCCGGCCATTTAGGAAGCTGGGCGGCATGTAATGACTCGCAGCCCGGCTTCCTGATACCGGAAGTTCCGGTATCAGGATAGGCATCGGCAGCATTTGGGCGAGCACGAGTACAAGCCCAAATACTCGGTATCAAGACCAATACTAGTATCAGTATCTGTGCATCCCTATGTAAAAACATTATGATGATTTTTGCTGATGTGTATCTGAAGGTCGAGCAGTTCTGGTTACCAGTATAAACCAATCAGGTTCACCCTTTTATTCTCCTGGTGTGTCTGTAGATACATTAGATTGTAAGCTCTTCAGTGGCATGGATGTAAATACTTCTGTATTCGTATGTACAGTATATATATATATATATAAAGCTTTAGTGACAGCAGGTATAACACAACACAATAGCTCAGTGTCAGCATATAACTTCTAGAACTTGATCTGTGTTCTCTCTCTTCTGCAGATTGAAGCGGGTCTGGTGGTGGGAAACAGTCAGGTGGTATTTGAGAAGGCGGACAACTCCTCCTTAAATCTTACAGGTGAGATGTACTGCTTTATAAAATGACAGATTCTGGTGCTAAGACGTCAGGTGTAAATTGTATTGTAGGAAGGATAGTCTTTGTTACAGAGGATCCAGGGAAGAGGAGTACATTTTACATTCGGGTTAGTACTAGGGTTACTGGGCAGATTATGCTTATAGGGAGATTTAGCATGAGCCTTAGCATTGGGGTTATAAATAGGCTCGGGCACTTGGGTTCACAGGAGAGGCTCGGCGCTGGGGATCACAGGGGTGGCTCGGTGCTGGGGAATCACGGCATGGGGGAGGCTCGGCGCCGGGGAATCGCGGGAGAGGCTCGGCGCCGGGGAATCGCGGGAGAGGCTCGGCGCCGGGGAATCGCGGGAGAGGCTCGGCGCCGGGGAATCGCGGGAGAGGCTCGGCGCCGGGGAATCGCGGGAGAGGCTCGGCGCCGGGGAATCGCGGGAGAGGCTCGGCGCCGGGGAATCGCGGGAGAGGCTCGGCGCCGGGGAATCGCGGGAGAGGCTCGGCGCCGGGGAATCGCGGGAGAGGCTCGGCGCCGGGGAATCGCGGGAGAGGCTCGGCGCTGGGGATCGCGGCGGAGGCTTGGCGCTGGGTTTTACAGAAAGGTTAGTGTTTAATGTCAGGGAGAACACGTGGGAAACCAGGAGCTCCTGGCACTGAAAGCCAATGCATTGCTGTAGAAGGTTGAGCAAACCAAACTGATCTGATTTGCCAATATCACCCAATCATGTATCGGTTTCATCTTCTGATGTGTTGAAGGATAATGATAGCTGGGATCTGATTGGGTACTGTGGGCAGGACCAATACTTTTCCCTCCTCCAGTTTTTGCATTATTCAGCCTCTCTGATTGATTAGCAGCAATTAGCAGAGTCATTAGAAGCTAAGTACATATTCATCGCATTGGTAAGCGGAGGCTGTTCACACCATTGAGGCATTCTATATATTTTTGCGGGCAGGTTGACCATAACACAGGAGTCTTTGTAGGTACACCTGTACTCTCTTGTGCTGACGTTGCTCCTTGTTGTCAGTGATTTGTGTGTTTACGTACAGGTTGTATATTCACATAGTATTGCCTGTTCCTAATACAGGCTGGAAAATAAAAGGTAACGTTTGATGATATATGTTTTCTTACATGAGGACTAATATATGTGAACAGACGTGAGCACTCAATCTGCTCCCTATTAAGTTGTTCATTAGCAGTCATTACATGTGGTTGATAGAGGGCAGCAGAGACCAGTGATACGTCTGTATGAGATCTGAGCTATTACATAGTCCTGCAGGTTTTGTAAAAAGTCACATCGGTGAAGTTCATCTTTTGCTTATATATCTGTGATAATGGGGGTCTGGAACTCCTCTGTAAATGAAGACTTTTCTGTCATTTTTAATGGAAGAACGGTTTAATTCTCTAAATACAATCTAATGAAACTGCTGTCTTTACTACTTGTGACTTCTGAATTCAGGGAAATCAAAGACCAAGCAGGACCGTCAGTCTATCATCAACCCCGACTGGAACTTTGAGAAGATGGGCATTGGTGGTCTGGACAAGGAGTTCTCAGACATTTTCAGACGAGCCTTCGCTTCCAGGGTCTTCCCTCCAGAGATCGTGGAGCAGATGGGTGAGTCTTCTAGATGAGGTGACAACAGCGTCATTGTATATAATTGTCATCACTGTATCTTTTCATGTGCTGTGTGAAAGATAAAGATGTATATAAATTGTGAAACAAAGAAAAGATCACACAGCAAACATTCATATTGCAGTTGTCACTATATAAGGTAAGAAACTTGGTGCTGATTGGCAATCAAAAGCGGCAAAAATGCAGCTGCATGAACCCTATTAAATCATGTAAAGTGTGAATTTTAGTGGTCACCCCACTTTAAAGAGTTTTCCCATCCAGAGCAAAACAGGTTTTACTGCTGAACTCCTCAGCTGCACTTGGCTTCCCTCTGCTGTGTCGTGTCTCTGTTCAGCTACATGGAGTATGGAGAGGAAGCCCTGTGTATATACCAGACGTGAACAAGAGCTTACACCGGGCTGAGAACGCTCTCCATCAGTCTTCAGTCCATAGCACAATTCCTATTTAGGAGCCTTTGATGGTTGTACTGTGGACTCATAACATGTCATATAGTTCTCAGGGTGACCCTTTTCCTGTGCCGTTGCAATGGGTGATTGGGCATAATCTGTAGTGGTCCGGATCCAATCAAAGAATGTCTGTCTGTCATTCTTTCCAATAGGAGGCAGGTGTAGTGACAGTTTATGTATGTATGTGTGTGTGTGTGTGTGTGTATATATATATATCTATCCACCTGAATGCTGGTGTTCTCCGTCTTAAGCTCGCCATGCACCTTACAATGTGGCAAAGTGTGTCCAGTAAACTTTGCATTTACCTAAATGATTTAATATGAAAATCTACCTAAAAGAAATATTTGGACAAGCCCTGAGCACTTCATGTTGGTAGATGTAAAGGAGATTGTACAGTCAGACTAGACAATAAGTGTAAAGCTGGTCACACAACTTACAATGACCAGGTAGCACAGGTTGGACCTTCCCCAGCTATCACCACTGAGACAGATTGTCTTCCTTACACTGTACTTAAGGTTAATTTCTACCCTTAAAGCTGAACTCCAGATATAAATGATTACATTGGTCCAGCTTGGCCCAATATATACATATTTTACACCTGGAAGGGCCACGGGGATCCTGTAAAACAGTGTAGTAGCGGGAGCAACTACACTACTTTACAGTGATCTTCTGGGTCCTGTATGGTGCTGTGCTGAGTGACTGCCCTCTATGGTGAAGACACAGGGCCACTCGCTCAGCACAGCGGTCATTCTGCGAACATCCAGGGGGGAATGTATCCAAACTGGAATCGGCTTCTCTCGTCAGTTAAGCTTTGAAAAGGAAAGGTAAAAGCTGATTGGTTGCCATGGACAGTTGCTCCAGATGTTGTCTGCTCCAGTTTTGAGAAATTCCCCTCTCGGTGAATAGTAGGCGTTCTCTGATTTTACGAGGGGCAGTGCCGTGCGGTCACATGCCCTCATCCAGTCAGACAACACCTAGCATACATTCATATTTCTACCTGGATTTCAGCTGTAACTTTTTTGCTGTTTTTTGTATAGAGTAGAGGAAGATTAGAACCCCTGGCAAGTTTTTATTGGTGTCTGTGTCTCTGTTGGGGTGATTCACACGCCTGTTGACTACTAAAAAAAAAAATGGAACAAAGTGATGAGAAATCCAAACATTTTGAGTTGTCACTGGTACAGGAAGTAGGGTGGAATCACTGTTAGGGTGACAACTGTCTAAGAGGGAGGGAATTCCTTTCATGTTGGGGATATTTCCTCTGACATTCTGTTGCCACTCCAGGGTAGGACATGAAGGGGAATCTCTCCAAAACTAAACCGTGTTTGTACTATTCCATACTCTAAAGATTAAAAAAAGATCACTGGATACGCTTTAATTTCTGTGTTTTATCCATATATTCATATTGGAAACGTGGAGATGTGAACTTGGTTTCTCATTCTTGGCAACACACTGTGACTCCTCTGTACCGCTGTCACTTATTTCCCAAACCATTGCTGAGCAGTCCGGCCCAGTCTTGTAGATGTTATCTCCCCATGTGTGCCAGGAAAAGGTCACAGTCCATGAGGATTAGGCCGGGATGACAGGCGGCTCCCTCTACCAAAACACACCTGTCAGCACAGCTTGGTAATAGGGTGCCAATAGACGGGGTATGGCCGCCTCTCCTCCTTATCAAAGTTTAAGAAGGGGATTGTGTTTAGTTTTGGAGTGAGAGGAATGACAAAGTGTTCCCATTGTGAGGTTTTCTGTCATTGGTTGCTGGTTTCCAGAATTAACGGGATGGATTGATTTTAGCTCATCTCGGCTTCAGTAACAAGCATGCTGCCACTGCACCCAGAACTCCCATCCTGCATGCTTGTTCCAGGTGACTGGTTTGTTGGGCAGTGAGGCCATCAACAGAATGAAAGTTCTGGAGCCTTTAAAGAGTAATCCCACTTTTGTGGAGAAAAGATCAATTCCCTCCTGGTGATCAATGTGCACTGCAAGGGTTTTTACAAACTTTGTTGCAGACCCACAACAGCCCTCCTGAGACCCTCGACAGCCCTCCTGAGACCCTCGACAGCCCTCCTGAGACCCTCGGCAGCCCTCCTGAGACCCTCGGCAGCCCTCCTGAGACCCTCGGCAGCCCTCCTGAGACCCTCGACAGCCCTCCTGAGACCCTCGACAGCCCTCCTGAGACCCTCGACTTCTTTTTACATTCCCAAGTCAGCCATCACGTGACCCTCTATGGCGCCTCTTCCGGTAGTGGAGGGTGGTTATCTGATGCTGCAGTCTGGGTCTGTCCATGGATTTGTCACCTGCTCTCACGTCCTATGAGGACTCTGCTCAGGGACACTAACACCCTCACACGTCTTGTCCTTCTGTCACTCAGACAGGAAGTGAGGGGAAATCTCACCAATAAAAACCTGACTGAAATTCTGACATCCACTTTATTGCAAACCAAAAAACAATCCATTTTGTTTGGCTTTGTGTGCAGTGTAGTCTAATGTTAGGCTTTCCCTGCAGGGTGTAAGCACGTGAAAGGCATCCTTCTCTTCGGTCCTCCTGGTTGCGGTAAGACCCTCATGGCTCGACAGATTGGCAAAATGCTGAACGCCCGTGAGCCTAAAGTAGTCAATGGCCCTGAAATTCTAAACAAGTACGTTGGTGAATCTGAGGCCAACATTCGCAAGCTGTTTGCTGACGCCGAAGAGGAACAGAGGAGGGTGAGTGCTCTTTTCATTGGCTGTAAACCATAACCATGAACTTCTCCTATTTGTTCCCTTTTGGAATACTAATCATACCATTAAAGGTTTTTGTCATGTCTGAAAACATACCTGCTGATCCTTCCAGAAATCTAGTGAGCTGATAACAGTGCAACAGAGGCAGAGCACAGAAGGTTATCAGTTATAGTGTCCCAGCTGTCTCCAGCTCCCCCTCATCTCTAGACAATAGGATGGTGTCATTCTTAAAATGTCAGACTGTAAAATACACAATATGTACACTTGTGTAAACTGCACAATAGTGACCCTCGGATAAAGGGTCTGCCCACCTACACGTGATATTTTAGGAATGGTGGAGCTTTGTAGGCTGAGACAAGCCCTGGCTATATGTCTTGTACACTGTAACAGTGAGATCTTCCTGCCATCATTCCCGACTCCCGCAACCCATTATGAGGGCCACCCAACTTTTTATGTTCCGACATCACCTCTTCCTCCATAATATGAGATACACTTTACAGCAGGAAGAGTGGGCGGCCCTCATAATGGGCACAACAGATGGGAAGACCTGGGAGGTGTAGAGATCTCCTCAATGGAGTCCAAAAGAGAGAGAGCAGACACTGCCATGCGCTATAACTTCCCAGCATCTCCTCTACCAACCACTGACATATCTGTTTTGGATGGACTGACCCATTAAGCTGGATCAAAGCCTAATGAAATGCAGCATACATAGCATAAGTAATGACAGTGACTACAAAGCACATCACCGACTGAACCATACGTCATTAATAAACACACGTTTCTCACGCCCTCTTTTGCCTACAGCTCGGGGCCAACAGTGGGCTGCACATCATCATCTTTGATGAAATAGATGCCATATGTAAGCAGAGAGGGAGCATGGCAGGCAGCACCGGCGTCCATGACACTGTGGTCAACCAGCTGCTGTCTAAGATAGACGGTGTGGAGCAACTTAACAACATCCTGGTTATAGGTAAGACTTGGACTGCTAGAAGGTGGCATCCTTCTCACTACAGGAGTGTGACATTCCTCCTCTGTGTGTCTTGTACAGGGATGACCAACAGACCGGACCTGATAGACGACGCTCTCCTGAGACCTGGCAGGCTGGAGGTCAAAATGGAGATTGGTGAGTGTGATTTATTTTTGTTCTTTATTACGTAGTGCACCCCTCTTCTGTTCCTCCCTTGACATGTCTGTGTTATCCGGGCTCCTCCAGGCCTGCCTGATGAGAAGGGTCGCGTCCAGATCCTCCATATCCACACCGCTCGCATGAGAGAACACAGCCTACTAGCTGGGGATGTGGATGTTCCTGAGTTGGCCACAGAGACCAAAAACTTCAGTGGAGCTGAGCTGGAGGGGCTGGTGAGGGCAGCACAGTCCACGGCCATGAACCGACATATCAAGGTGAGACGGTATCTGTGGCTTGTTTGTTGTTTTCTTTATCAGCCATGTCTACTGATCAGTAGTTAGAAATGAATAATGTAATGTGAGGGGTTGGCCGGGTTTGCACAAATGGTGGTCACATTCTGCTCACTGAGGCGTGTGGTCTGTGACCTGGACAATGGCTACTTTGCTCAAAGCCGTCTCAAGAGAAAGTTTTGCTTTATGACAAAGTCGCTTTAAAGCAAACCTGTCATTTTAAAAAAACCTTTGTCAGGGTGCCCACACACCTTACGATCGTACGATAATCGCGGGAAATCGCGCGATCGTACGATTATCGTAAGGTGTGTGGAAGCCGTGCGACCTCTAGTACTGTAAGGTCGCACGACTTTAAACTTACGAACATGTTTGAAAACCAACCGAGCATCGTACGATGTTCAGCGGGTGTGTAGCATGTCCGTAAGATAAAAGCCAGACGAGCCGGTGTGCGCAAGGGCACACTGCCTGTTTGGCATTGCGGTCATCGGAAGCCCGCCCTTCAGGGGGGGGGCGGCTTGCGATCATTGCAAGTACGATCTGCCTGTCCAAGATAGGCAGATCGTATGTTTTGTCTTGCGATGGTTGTGAGGCACTTAATAAAAGTCTTGGGATGGTTGTAAGGTGTGTGCCCAGCCTTAGCCAGAAAACCCTCCGCTGTGTTTCTTGGCTATCCTCATTCAACATCTTGACCAGGTAGCCAAGACACTCCCACCCAACTGCATTGTCTGAGAAGTGCCTCAGTAGCCAATAAAAGCTCTCATTGAGTGGAAGTGGATGGTGGGCCTTAGCAATGGCTTGCGTATGGCAATGACAGCAAAGCCAATATGAGAGGAAAGCACAGAATGGGTCATAAGTGTCATCTTGGGGTGTCTGGTCCTAGGCAGGACTTGCATCCGATGGCTAGTCAGTCACATTCTTCTGGTTCTGTACTGCTGAAGACATTTCACCACTCATTCAAGTTGTCTCTGCTTCTAGCTATACCATGACCTGGATAAACGTGGACCCTCACAGACCTATCAGCTGCATCATAGCGCCAACAACACTAATGCAATGTTCAGAAGCAGATTCTAATCACATTAAGTGCAGGAACACGATGAGACAGCATGCGTGGTTTAAGGCGTGTAGAATGATGACGGACAACTCCCTGCTATAGATCAGTCCCAGGAAGTGATGATCAAATCTACTGCCTTTAATTTCATTGACATTTTCTAGAATATCGGGGTCTAAGTTTACGTCACAGTAAGGCCAAGCCTAGTTATCCAGCACATACTGTAACGTAAACTGAGACCCCGATATTCTGTAAGGCCAAGCCTAGTTATCCAGCACATACAGAATATCGGGTTCTCAGTTTAAGTTACAGTAAGCCCAAGCCTAGTTATCCAGCACATACAGAATATCGGGTTCTCAGTTTAAGTTACAGTAAGCCCAAGCCTAGTTATCCAGCACATACAGAATATCGGGGTCTCAGTTTAAGTTACAGTAAGCCCAAGCCTAGTTATCCAGCACATACAGAATATTGGGGTGCAGTGATAAATACCTTTTATTTTTTATTACTACCGCACACTTTATATACGTGATGTGAAAACAAAGGTGGGATTGAATGCTGCCATTTAGAAAGTATGGGGAGGTTTGGTCATAACTGCCTCAGTCTCTTGCAGACTCCTAATATTTCATCACCTGACAATATCTAACCACCATCCGGGATGTGTAACCACTTGTGTGACCTTAATAGCTGGCAGAGGGATCTGTCTGGCAGAGGGATCTGTCTGTGTCTCTTCTGTTCCAGATATCATCTGTGACCTGTTCCAGCCTCTCTTCTATGAAATGGGGGACACAGTGTAAAATCCCCTATAGGTCCGCTATACTGTGTGCCGTACATTGCTAGAATTGGGGATCCTATCCTCTTGTTCTGTAGATATCATAACACTCCATTCCAAATCCACTTAGAACTCATTTTAAAATGAGTTCTAACAAGTGAAGTTTCTGCCTTTATCTGTCATCAAATGATGAGTCTCAGTGCTGTAAAGAAGTTCTACACCGCTGGCATTCCTTAAGACCCACAAGTCCTTCACCAAAGCTGAAGCTTTTAGCTCAGTAATAATATAAAGCAAAAGGAAAACATACTATATACAGTGGTACCTAGGTTCACAAACTTAATTCGTTCCACCATTCTGGTCGCAAACCGGATCAAACTGTGATCAGATCGCGATCTCGACTAGAGGAAGCCACGACCAGTGTCAGAGCAGGGAAGATGGCTATGGTTGTGTCCATCACCCGATGCAGAGTTCACAAACAGAAGCAAAATTTTGCTGAACTTCCTGTTTGTGAACCAAAGCGTTTGTGAACCGAGGTACCACTGTACGTCATTTGAATATATTAGGTATTTCATTCATATCCAGACGTTTGAAGGTCATTCTATGACTATAGCCAAGGGTTAGTGTAGACGGGTATTTGAAATCATTGTGGGGTCAGTTTAATGGAAGACGCAGTTCAGATTTCACTTCTGTCAGAAGAAGACTACAAATACTGGGGAACATTAGTTCTCAGGAGGTTTTATGTCATCAGAAGCAGTAGTGGTTTGATCCCCTCAATTAGGATGTTCCCCCATCTCTGTGCAGAACCGGACGTTTGTGTATTTGGTGTACTAGATGAAGAATATCGGCCACACTACACTAGAGGATTCTTGTTTCACAAAGCCATAACGGGTACTGGAACCCAAATCATTGTTTAATCAGTATGATAAAGTTATTTACGGGAATGGGAACTGACCCCTAAAATTCCATGACATTTGGGACCACAAGTGTCATTCTTTTCTCATATTAAAGAGGAAATGTATCTCTCCTTTTTTGTAGTGTCATCTAACTTGTTTGCTGGGTATCCTCAAAATACATACACGTCCAGTGCATCTGGTGTAGTCTTGCTGCAATCCACTGTGGCACGTTGGGTCCCATGCCGGCATTTACTTTACTCAAGTCATTGGGGGCCGGCTGTCCCTTCTGGGTTCTTGAAGCCGGCTTCCTGATGACGCTTGGGCACATGCTCTGTAGCACCCTGAGGCCTCTGGGATGTGTGATGTCTGTATCCCAGGAGGCTACTAGGAGGTGACTGGCTACCAGGCGGGTAAGCCTAGACATAAATAAATGTCCAATTGTGAGAGAGGAGAGGGTAGGAGTGAAAGTGGGTGGAGAGGGTAAGGGTCGCCTTGGCCTTCAAGTCATAATTGCCTCGCTCAGTATATGGCAATGTGTTTGAGAATGTTTGTATGTGATAAAAGGTCAGGAGAGACTGTTCAGGTTCTAATGATAAAAGGTCAGGAGAGACTGTTCAGGTTCCAGTTGTTTATTTTATACCATGACTGTAATTGTGACCAGGAGAGACTGTTCAGGTTCTAATGATAAAAGGTCAGGAGAGACTGTTCAGGTTCCAGTTGTTTATTTTATACCATGACTGTAATTGTGACCAGGAGAGACTGTTCAGGTTCTAATGATAAAAGGTCAGGAGAGACTGTTCAGGTTCCAGTTGTTTATTTTATACCATGACTGTAATTGTGACCATGTACTGTATGCAGGTTCATACTTTTGTATAACTGTTTGAGTTCAAAAAACACAGTTTTAATCAAATGTCCGTGTTCTTCTTAGGCCACCACCAAAGTTGAGGTTGACATGGAGAAGGCGGAACGTCTGCAAGTAACAAGGGTAGACTTCTTAACATCTCTGGAGAATGATATCAAGCCGGTAAGTTGTTTTCTCTCTAATACGGACAATGAGCCTCATGGGCCCTCAATATGGACACCATATAAAAAGAAATCATTCATCCTTTGATGTGTCACTCTGCTCCCGTTGGGTAGGCCACGTCACACCCTGTTTGTTTCATCTCACATTTTTTAGGCCTTTGGAACTAACCAAGAGGACTATGCAAGCTACATCATGAACGGCATCATTAAGTGGGGAGACCCCGTCACCCGTGTCCTGGAGGATGGAGAGCTGCTGGTCCAACAGACAAAGAACAGTGACCGCACACCCCTCGTCAGTGTCCTACTTGAAGGTAGGGATCCCGGAATCTATGTGGGGTTGATGTGTATGATCCCGTATGGAAAGGCTGAGAAATGTTCTTCATTCTGCTGACCTCTGTTCATCCTCCGGCAGGTCCGCCGCACAGTGGAAAGACGGCACTGGCTGCCAAGATCTCTGAGGATTCCAATTTCCCATTCATCAAGATCTGCTCACCAGAGAAGATGATTGGCTTCTCCGAGACCGCCAAGTGTCAAGCTATCAAAAAAGTAAAAGGCCTTTTTTTGTGACACATGAATGGGGGAAAAATTTAACTGGTGAATGGGGAAAAAAATGCTCATAGCAGCCAATCAGATATCAGCTTTGGTTTGCTAGCCTGCGTTAGGAAAATGCAGCTGAAATCTGATTGGTTCCCATGGACAACACCTTGGTGTTTCTTTTTACTTGGCTGTTACTGCGCCTTTATCTATGTCACAGCTGGTCAGTCCAGTGGGGAACTGCAAGTTGTATTTTTGGGGCCTTCAAATGTGGCTTTAGCTCATTGGAAGGGTCACCAGTGACATATTTACACTTAGAGGGGTAAAATGAAGCAGTGCCTCATGGGACTTGTAGTTTCACCACAGCTGCAGTACCAAGGTTGCCTACCCCTGTAATATAATGAGGATGCACCATGAATATTCACTATCGCTGGATGCCTCTGAACCAATATATATCTGCTAATATTGATAAATCCATTCTTCGCGTTGTTTTATGGCCTCGTTCACGCCATCCTCAGTGCCTTCCGTCTCGATTGTCGCTGGAACGCACTGGATCGCATTGTGGCCGGCTCAGTTTGTTGTGGGGTGGGAGGGGGCGAAAAAATAGTGCTTGCAGCATTTTTTCTGACTGGACTGCAGGCATTGATGTGCCTTGCGTTCCAGTGCGGCCAATCGCATTGCAGCCAGAGGGCATGGCTGCGGTGCCATTCGCCTCAATGGACCGCCACGCCTCCCCTCCCGCCCCACAACAAACTGAGCCGACCGCAATCGGCCCGGAACGCACTGAGGATGGTGTGAATGAGGCCTAAATATACAATTTCCTGCTTTAAAAACATATTTTTTTTTTGTTTGCTAGCGTCTGATTTGGGTATTCCAAGTGAAGACTTACAAACACTTGCTTTGTAAAGGGAACCACCTCTACTGCTTTAGTAGATGATCCCCTATTTGTAATGTTAGGATTTTGTCCTTCTTTTGGAGTCCATTGAGGGAAAAGGCTCTGAAGAATCTGATACGTAGAGTGATGCTGCTACCTCAATTCTCCTAGAGGCGGCACCATAACCCTACGTATCAGATTCTTCAGAGCCGTGTCCCTCAATGGACTATAGAGAAATGATCTTCTGTCCCCACTAGTTGGGCACCCCTTGTCCCTCTACTTTCTACCCCATTATACTTCAATGAATTGGGCCCCTTTCAGACGGGCGGTCCGTTCAGATATGCCTGTCAGTTTTTTAGGGGGATCTGATCGGATGCCGATTGTTGCTCTATGTGCATCTGGATCTATACGGCCGTGCGTCTGTTTACCCCGACTCTGTTTAGGGCCGGAGAAGAAAATAGAACAGAGCAGCATTTTGGCGGACCTGATTGTGACAGATCGGGAGTAATCTGAGGTAAATGGACACATGTCCACTTACATCCGACTCCCCCATAGGCCTACAGCTCAGTTTATTTCCTTCATCATAAGAGTGATATCCGTTCTGTACTGTTCCAATCAGTGGATCCATCCGCAGGCAGCGACTATGAAAGGGGCCTTAGGTGCTCATCCCTATACTCCATCCCTATACTCCATCCACATGGTCCTATTTATTATTATTATCTCCTTGCAGATATTTGATGATGCTTACAAGTCTCAGCTGAGCTGCGTTGTTGTAGATGACATTGAGAGGCTGCTAGGTGAGCCTGTTTGTACCTTTCCTTCTTTCTAAAGGCTACATCATCAGTCAGTGTTTTTGAATGTACTGCTCCTTTATTGTAGATTATGTGCCAATTGGTCCTCGTTTCTCCAATCTGGTGCTGCAGGCTCTGCTTGTTCTCTTGAAGAAAGCCCCCCCTCAGGTACGAGGATACTCAGATTACCCCCTAATATTGTCTTTGTTTCAGATTAAGGCCCCATCTCCGCTAACCATCTTCTTCCCCTCAGAGTCGTAAACTACTGATCATTGGCACCACCAGCCGAAAGGACGTCCTGCAAGAGATGGAGATGCTGGACGCTTTCAGCACAACCATCCATGTTCCAAATATCCGCTCAGGAGAGCAGCTTATGGAGGCTCTGGAGGTGAGGACATTATGGGGGGGAGGCCGTTATATGTAAGACACAACTGGGCATTCAGAATGGCAGTGATGACGTCCAGAGTAGATTAATCTATAGCAGGAAGTCACATTTCTACTTCCTGGAGTGTCTTGTGGTATAGTACCAACATCCTCCCCACAACAGGACACCATTTCACTTCTGTCCTTATTAGGGATGTCCCGATACCGATACTAGTGAAAATGCCCCGATTTTTTTTAAGGCTGATGCCGGCCCTTTACATTTTTGTCAGGTCCTCGGCAGCCTGCTGGGGACCTAGCAGTAGCTTTCCCTGGCAGTGCCTGTCCGGGTCTTCCCGGCACAGCCATGGACAGCCCTACACACAGCACAGTACAAAGTATGTATTACAGCAAAGATGTTTTTGGTTAACTTGGACTTTCTACCAGTTGTCTTTGCTCATTTCAGCTCCTGGGTAGTTTCAAGGACAACGAACGCTCCATCATCGCACAGCATGTGAAGGGAAAGAAAATTTACATTGGAATCAAGAAGCTGCTAATGTTTATTGAGATGTCCATGCAGGTGAGGACTCACACAGCGAGAGGCTGTGCTGGAGGAGGTCGGAGCAGCACAATGGTACCATGGGAGCTGGTTCCTGAATAGTCAGAGACAATCATGGGGCACTGCCACCTAGTGGGCAACGTTGTACGAGCAAATGTGGACTATTTGTGGGGAGGTAACGGGCTGAAACATGCGCCAGTTTCCATGTCCCAGTGACAATCTGATAAGTGGTACACACCAATTTGTTAATTTGTCGCATGGTGGTGCCGGTGCCCAGGATTCATGCTTACTCTAGTGTGTTTTTTCTCCCTGCATTGCGGCACCTCGCTGGCCGTCCGTACACATCCCCTCTTCCCTCCACAGTGCTAATTGTCACCCCCTCCTCAGTACAATATTTACACTACTCTGTGTGCATCAAAATAAGGAGACATTTCTACCAATCAGACATTTCTAGAAGCTCCGGCACTTTGCACGGCTGGTTCAGCAGCACGTAGAACTTGTCCTCTGACATTGGTCATTTGGTGCACAGAAAATGCGTCAGTATTTATACCACAAGACTGTCGTATTTCTCGTTGTTCTGCGACTTCTATTTATTATACATCTTATTGGTTTATAATCCCGATCTGTTCTTCTTTAGATGGACCCAGAGTATCGTGTTGGCAAATTTCTCGCCCTCTTAAAAGAACAAGCTGCGTAAGTATGTACCAAGAAATAATAGTCAGGGTTGGATTGTGTGTGCTCGTCTCTCAGGCCTGAAGACAGCTCAGTGTACACAATGCGGTCTCACTTCAGGGACGGCCATTGCTTCAAGCAGAACACTTTATACTCGGCTTCAATATTCTTCACGACAGGCCAGGAAGGAAGCCAAGAATAAAGTGCTTTTGTATTAATTCCAATTCTATAAGCAATGACTCCAGAATTAATATTCATGTAGATGTTGCCGAGTGGTCCTAGGAGGGAGGGGCTTCTATACATCTCTCCATGTTCATGGAGAGAAGACGTGCATCATGCTGGACCCAAGACGCAGCTCACTTCATCAGCAGAAGCATAGGGGGATGTCACTGCCTTTCACCAGACTAAAGGGGCAACTTCCTGTGCTGACTGCTCTCTGAATCTTTTGGTTGGGGGGAGGGGCGGGCTTTGTGAAGACACGGTCACTTTGCTGTGCATGGGAAAGGTGATGTACAATAATTGTAGTGAGAGAATGATGAGCCTGCCATTACTGAACTCCTCCTCAATATGCCCAGTGCCTGGCTTCAGTGCTTCCCAAGTCATGGACCCCGAAACCAGTATACAGTAAATGGGAAGAGACTTTCAGCACTTCTGATCTGCATATCAGGCTGGTGACTTGAGAGTATTGAAGCTGTTGGATCAGCATGACACCCAGGCAATAGTGAGGTCAGCAGACGCCATGTTTGTAGAGGCCTCTACTCATATTTTGTTTTGGTTCTTCCAGAGATCCAGTCCATCGTGACTATGCTTAACTGGACATCCCATTGCTGTGGGCACCAGAAGATGTCTCCTTCAGAACCAGTAACATTCCGCCCCCCACCCCCTCATATCTGTTCCTGGGAAGGTTGGATTCTTGAAGCACACCACGGGATCCCTTATTACTGCATCACAAGGGACATGCATGTAACTAACAATGCTTTGTCTGAATGTCTCGCCACCTCAGCCTTGTCCATCCATTCTGCTTTACGTTCTATGAATGCACAAGGCGGCCATGTTGTAGCGGTGTCTGGCTGGAGCACTCCAGGGTCTTTATTCTAATATGGTGGTATGGATGGACTGGTGACCATCTGCAGTCAAGTCATTTGGTACCATTCTCATTGTGAAGTCCACACTTTCCTCTTTGTAGCATAAAACAGGCCATGCTGCAGCCGCCATCTTGGAACCCGTGTACATTAACCTGCTTGTGGTGGATACGACTGCCCTCGATGTTTTATTGCCTCGTGTTATTACACACAGGGTTCAACCATTCTACAAGTGGCCAGATTGTACAGCTTCTAGACTTTAATGGTGTTTTGATCTGTGGCGCTGTGTGTATGGAATGCAGATTGTGAATATTTATTAAACATGGCCGACACAAAAGCCATCACATATCCTAGTGTTTAGTTCCTCCTGCTGTGTAGTCACCTGTACAGTCCTGAAAACGGTTCAACCCTCCAGCTTGTACAGATCAAGGGTATTACTTCCTCAGATGACATTGTACAATGTGTTGCAGTGTGCTCATCACTTAGGCAGGCAGCCATCTTGTGCTGTCATGTGGATGAGCCGTTGTAGAGGGAGGGTGATGGGATACACTTGAAACGTTGGAAGGTATTGAGGGGGGTTGTTGTTGTCTCACATTGCATGTCCCCATACACCGAATATGCTG